TTTAGGGTAAACCCTCAACCCTCAACCCTCAACCCTCAACCCTAAACCCTAAACCCTAAACCCTAAACCCCCTAAACCCTCAACCCTAAACCCTAAACTCCCTAAACCCTAAACCCTAAGACCCTGAACCCGAGGATTCTTTGTCCGGAATCTTCGGGCACCTCGGCGTGCTGCAGACGGCTTGCGACGAGCTGATGAAGTCTGAGAAGCTGCAAGTTCTGCTGCAGGACGTAAGGGGGGTTTGGGTTTAGGGTTTAGGGGTTTAGGGTTTAGGGTTTAGGGTTTAGGCCAAAGGCTCCATGTACCCATGTAGTATAGACTTAGGCCTCAAAGGGACTCCAATATAGGTACGTTAAGGCCCAAACATACATTTTGTGACTCACAGAGCCCTAGGGCTTTATCTTGAACTGCCAGAACCTCCTGTGTTGCAGGGTCCCTATGAATCTATTTTGGGGTTGCCAATCAGACAGGCACAAGAGTAGGGTATGGTAGGTATGGTAGGTGAAGGTCGATTTTTTCATAGGACCTGCTGCATGAAGCTACCAGGATACAGGATACGAGGTCCGGGTCCGTGTTGAGCTTATTGGCTGCATTTATGCTCTAAGGCCTTGATTGAGGGTTTGGCGTCTTCGGGCACCTGGGCACCCGAAGGGCCCGAAAGTTCAAAGGTCTATTTACCCATAGAGTATATACTTGGCCCTAGTATGCAAACAGGGACTGCTTAAGGCCAAAGTGTATACTTTTTCGGCACATGAACCCTTGGGAATTGAGATTGTAGAGGTTAAGGTTTTAAGATATACGTGCTGCATTGTAGTTCCCTTCTTGGTTTCCTTACAACTATGCAATCCCAAATACATCATAGAAAGGAGGGTATGGGCATGGTAGATTTGTCAAACATTTTAAGACAAGTTCAAAAGACTCGCGGTTTGTTGGGCTCCCCAGCTGAATCCTCGTGGAGAATCAAGGGACACGGGTAGTTCAGGGTTTTAGGGTGTTGGGTTGCGGGTTTAGGGACTACGGAGTACCGGGTCAGGATCTATCTTATCACTTCTAAACCCCTCCTGAGGGATCACTTTGTATGTCCCCTAATACTGTAAGGAATCCCTGGAAGACACCTTTTATAGCATCACCCTAAACCCTAAACCCCTCAACCCAATCCCTGGAAGACACCTTCTATAGCATCACCCTAAACCCTAAACCCCT